TTTTCAATGAGAATATTTATTTTGAACTTTGACTTAAATTTTTTCTATAAGCTTTTGGAGTCCAAAAGTAACGTAGGACGTGAGTCATGGATAAGATAAAGATAAAATAGAATCTTGTAAAAATGAACAAGAGATAAATTCTTAAAGAATAAGTTTTTTTTTTAAAAAAAAGACAAGTTAGAAAATCAAAAGTAAATTGTATGGTAGTTTTTGTTAAAAGAAAGATAACAAATTATTCCTAAATAAATTACCTTGGACGTGAAGAGTAAAGAAATCATTAGTACATTAGGGAAAAAAGTTTCAACTACAGAAGGATAACCTTGTGAAAATTAATAATGACTATGTCTATAAGTTAAAAAGGTAAAGTGAAATATTGATTAGAATCTTGACTAAAGTTTTGGATAACTTAAAATCTGTTTTACTTTCTATAAGTACACATGAGAATGAAGGAAAAGCAAAGAGAAATATTGAACACAATTTATTAATGAAAAAACTAATTTGCAATATCTTAATAATTGAGAGAACTACTTTACAAATTTGAAAAGAAATAGGAAATAAAGTTTAAAATTTTTATATTTAATAAAAATTTAGTAGAGATTTGTTTTAGAAATAAAAATAACAAGTATATATTTTAAAATTTTACCATTTACACAATCATTTATTTCAAATGTTAAAAATTTTATTCGTACAAGTAACTAACATAACATAAAACTTTAGTATTCATATTAAACATTGTATTTCTACTTAATGTGTAAGCTTCACCAGATATAGGGTGGGAGGTTCCTTGTAATAAGGGATAATTGTATTAAAACCATTAAAAAATATGATTAAAAGGATTAAGTACCATAAGTGCATTAATGAAAATTGAGAATGTTAGTCTGATTTTGATTGTAGGAGATAGTTAAGTATAACATGTTAGTTAAAGAAAAAGTTTAGCTAATTTGTGACGCTTTTAATAAATTTGCGTAATTATCCTAAGATGCACTTAGGCTAACTATGATTGATGAATGTATGTATTGCTAACGTAATAATATTATTTTAAGTGCAGTACAATTAAGAAGTGATTGTACCTCGTAACACTATCTGGATTGCGGGCTTGAAACTATTAATTGTTTATCTATAGTAATTTGTGAAGTGATAAATTAATTAATTAATATATGAAAAATCTAAACACAAGAATGGTCAATGATATAAATTATTTAGTTGTGATTGTTTCTTTATAAAATAATTTATAAATGTTACTCACTCTTCTTTTTTATTGTAATTACTTTGTGGATAAACTGAGAGTAGAATGCATTTTCTTGACCAGTCACCTATCACATTGTTTTTAGCTTTGGAACAAGGGTGTGGGATTTTAATATAATAAATTAGACTATTATATTTTTTTTAAAAAAAATGTGATTTACAGGTCTGAAATAGTCAATCATTTTGATATATTTAAGTGTTGATAAAATATTATAGTTTTCATATTTAATATATATACTAAGCTACTTTTTAACATTACAATAAATTTACTTCAAAAGTGATTTGACATTTGGTCATAAAATTGGCCTCCGAGTTTTATACTCTTAACTTTTTGGACAAATTTTAAGCTTATTGATTCCTTTTTTATGTCATCATCAATTACAATTTGAAGAATAATATTTTATGATGACATATTAATGTAAGAAAAAAATTGAATAACAATACATGAGAATGTGAAAACATAAAAAGAAAGAGATATAACTAAATGTATAGTCTTTATTAAAAGTGAGTGAAAAGGCTTACAAGAGGTAGGTATTTGTACCATAGGAACTATTAATAGAAATAATACCAGATGAACTACTAATAAAATTCTAAAACTAACTTTTTTTCACTAGAATTACTAACTATAGTTAATACTCCCATCTTGGACAATAATGTGCTAAAAACAGAATGAAGAATATGCTTCGTTAGCAAATTTGCAAATAGATAGATGCATTTAACGTGAACTAGTCAAATGGAACCATTTCAATTTTTTTCCTTGAATGAAGTGGCAATTAATTTCAACATTTAGTGCTTTCATGGTAGGACCAATGTTGAAAATATTTTAATAAGGCAGTTTATCAAGTGATTTCACTAGCAGCATTAGTCATAGATTTGTATTTAGCCTCACAACATTTTGTTTCTTAGACTTCTAAGATATGAGGGATGAACCAAAGAACACACACTATTCTCTTGTAGATCTTCTCGAGTTAGGAGAGCAATTCCAATTTAAATCTTCATATGCCTTCAAGTTGATATTAGAATTATTAAAATAAAATAAAAAAAAAAAGATCCATTGAAATTTTTGGGTGAATTTTTCCTTTGGATTTTTGGGCTCCTTCTTGTACGTCGAACATTGCTATTTCAGTAGGCTAGATGTCACAAAAGTTTTGAGCTCTTAGTCACTCGCAAACTTGTACAAAAAGGGGTCAACACTCTAGGCCTATTTTAGCTATTTTCTTATTTTAAGACAATTTTTATAACTTGTATTTTTAATTCCTACTTTTTTCATTCACAACAAAATATAATTTTTGTGTACCTTGTTTAAGGTAATTACGAATCATTTAATTTAGTTTAGAAAAATAATTGTCACTTCTAATTGAATTACATCACACTTACTTCTCATAATTCTTCCTTAAATAGGCTTAGTTTAATTTTGGGTTAATTTCACTAATTGTGTTTCAATTTATAATTTCTTATCTATTTTTTATTTTTAATTTAATTAAAATGATAGAATTTTTAATCAAATAAAAATGACGGAAATTTGGGATGTTATAGAAACACTTGATGGTTTTGTTAAATTAAGTCTTAACATAAGTAAAGAATTGCTTAATGTATATGGAGGTTTCAGATTTATGTTTCAATATATAAACCATGTGAATATACTATAATCATCAATAATAGTGAGAAATAAAAACTATGATCATGAGTGGGATGATGATCTGGTCTCCAAACAATAAAGTGAACCAAATCAAATATAACATCTGAAAAGTTATTATTTAAAACAAAGGATGATCTTCTCATTTTAGATAAAGGATAAATATTGCAAGAACAATGAGAAATAGTTTTAATGGATAAATGAATGGTCTTAGTCAAATGTTGAAGATAATGATCAGCTAAGTGGCCTAATCTAGCATACCAAAGGTCAAGTACAAATTCATTGGAATTATAATGTTTAACAGATACAATGTCTTGAGTACTAGGAACACTATTACATAAGGTATGCATAGAATCTATATTAGAAACAATATTATGGTTAAAAGTTAAAACTAGGTTTAACTGTAGGAGTAAGCACATGAAGGCCTTGATTGAGTTCACCTTTCCTAATCATCTAGTGAGACATGAGGTCCTAGATAAAAAAAGTATTAACACAAAAAAAATAACTGAACAATGTTGTTGAGATAGTAATTTGCTAACAGAAATGAAGTTAACATAAAATTAAAGAATGAATAGAACATTGTGCAAAGTGAAATTTGGATTGATTTGAACATAACCAATGGCTTTAACAACAATTTTGTGATTATTAGGAAGTGTAACAAAAGAATGATCAATATCAGTGTAAGAAGTAAAGACATTGAGATCAAAAGAAATGTGAGAAATGGCTCTGAATCAAGGATCCATGTGCATTTGTTATGAAAAGAAAAAAAGGTTGATCATAAGAAGCTGATAAAATATAACCTGAATTGTTGCCAAAATTGGAATTATCAGTATTAGGTTAAGAAGCCGTAATCATTTAGGATGATAGGAAGGAAATCAAAAGTTGACATTGATCAGTAGTCAAATGAAGTTGAGGTGCAGATCCTGAAGTGGATGCTCTTGCTAGTTGAAATGAATGTTTTATTATTGATCCTTGTATTTTGTGGTGTTGAAACTTGATTTACAATTAGATGATTCTAAGTAGGTGACTAACATCTATCAGGAGGGTATGTATCCATGGAGTTTATAACATCTTGTTAGATGCTTGCAAGAAGTTCTCGAGAACCACCATAAGCAGAACTGCAAGTGAAAGTCATGGAGCCTTGAACAATGTCATTATAAATTATACTTTGTAGAAATTGAATTAAGGATCAAAGAACATACAATATTGTTGTTCTTTCCCAGGACGCCAACCAATTGGGATCAGTCCCATCAGGTCAAGAAAAAGAATCATCAACATAACATAACATGTTCTTGACAATGAGAGAAATTTTCATGGAACCTTGAAGAATTTGGGTAAGAAGAAGCGTACCCAGATTCTTTGAATTGTTGACATAAAGAGGAATGAGAAGATGATCATGTGCATTTTGTTGAACCATGATGTAAAAAAAATTATACAGAGTAGCAGAACGCGTTCAATCAACTGATACCATACCATATCAGAATGTGAAAATGCTTTCCAAAGGTGGGTATTTACAATAGAGGAAAACTAAATTTCTTATACCTAAAAATAATTAACTATAATTTATACACAAGTAAATAAATACATTTTATTTTTCAAATTTAAAGATCATGAACCTTCATTTCTTATAATACAATGGTTCCCAAGATGCTTTCATGTTTTAAGTTTTGTAATTAAAAAAAAAAAATCAATAATTTCTTATGCACTTAAATTATGAAATACAAAACGATCGAAAGAAAAGAAAATTAAAAAGATGATTAAAATAAACGCGTCGACACACAATTGTATATTGGAATGCTTGCGTTTATGTGCTTTGGGTGATGTTTTGGTTTTGGATTCAAATAAAGCAGAGTTAGCTTGTTTGATTTTTTTTAAAAAATAAATTTGTGTTTTTAAAATTAAAAAATAAAAAAACTTGCTTGTTAATGTAAGTTTTAAAAACTATTTTTGAAAATTAATTTTTATTTTCAGTTTTTAAAACTGAAAAACAGAATTGCTATTTAGGTGTTTTTATTTTTATTTTTCTGTTTTTCTTTCTAAAACTAACAAAAGTCCAACTAAAAAAATTTTTAAAATTAAATTATCAAAAAAAATTATTTTATTTTATTTTATTTTTCTAAAAACAGTTTTATAAAATTGTTTTAAAATATAATTTTTAAAAATTAAAAATCAAAACTAAATGAAATAAACCCTACTCTGTAATTTTGCCTATTCCTCAATTCATTTCTTTCAGTTTCGGATTTTGTAACAAACCGCTAATCAATTATGCTAATTACCATTAATTCACTAACCCAATGCACCTTAGGTAGATTCAGTTTATGCAAGTATTTCATATCTAAGAAATGCTAGGAACATTTCTTTCTAACACAATTCATATGATTAGTCAATTTAAAATAATAATAATAATTTACGAGAAAATTTTGAATATACTTGTCTCTGATCAAGTTAATACAATGCGTTGAAAAATATGTTATTAGCATTCCTGTTTTTAATGTAATACTTACTACCTAATCGCATAGAGGCACTTAAAAGAAGATGAAATTATCCCCTAAAACTGATTATGAAACAAAAATGTCATTGCTTATTGGCATAAAGGCTAAAGCATCTCTTACGTTTGATTACATGATTTCAAATTCACATTACTACTTATCTCTTTACAGGGATAATGTTAAAATGTACATTATTATTATTATTATATTCAATTCTTTCACCTTGAACATGCATGATGTTTAAGATAACATTCTCAAGCTTTTCCATTTGCTGCTATAGCAGGACTTGTCTTCCTCTTCCTCTCACTAAAGCTACGACATGAAGCCAAGCTTGGAAGGCAACACTGAACAGATTTAACTGATTTCTCTCTAATGGATGCATCATCATAATTATCATTCATGCTTCTTTCAGTACTACTACATGCAGAGTTCACCCCTGAGATATAAGGTGTACTGCGTGCAGATTTAGGAACAACATCATGTGTAGTTGGTTTCTCTTCCCTCTTTTCATAGCCACAAATGTTTCCAACATCATCATTTTGGTCTTCTCTGACACTTTCGCGAAAAAGTTCCAACAGCTTCTTTTTCTTTTGTGTTGGAGATGGTTCAGGAACAGAACCAGCATTATTCATATGCTCAGAAGGGGTCCCAAAAGAGTGGTGCACTGGAGTGGTACCACGAGATGGGGTAAACTCTGGATAAAAACAAAATATTTGTGAGTTCATTATAAGGAGAAGGATCATGCTAAAACATTGAAAATGTGAGAGACTATGGCAAAAGGACAAAAAGCATGCACAAGTTCCAATGTGAGTTCTGAATTCTTTACGAAAGTTGTTTAATAAAAAGGGTCTTGCTAACCAGTGCCCTTAGGACATTGGTTAAGGAATTGAAAGTGAAATGTTTTTATTGGAAAATGTGTCAGATGCATTAAAAATTACTGGAAGTGGTGTATTTATAATATTTTCTGCCAAAAAACTTTCACTTTTGGTTCCTTAACTATTGCCCTTGGGACACTGGTTAGCATTTGCTTAATAAATTAGCTGATTAAGTTCCAATGTCCATGACTACTGACTACTTGTCATTTTAAATCAAGAACCTTTCATTCATTTATTAACTATGCAAAGTTTCAGCTCCTACTCTTAAGCACATAATCAGGCCAAGTAAACAGATTAAGATACTCTAGCAAGAAACTACAAAAGGAAAAGGTGATGCTAGGCATCCTTACCACCATTGACACTATAGAAATCATCTTCACAATCTGAGTCTAACCAGGCCTTCGAATCGAAAAATGCTTCTTCTTTGCTACCTGGACAGGATAGCAATCCAAGATAAAATAGTGTTAGAAAACTAACATAAGAATAGTACCAAAAACTAATGATAATGAAAAAATAACACATGAAGGGCTTGCTTGGAATTCATCATATGAACTAATGAAGTAACGAAAACAAATCAATTAAAGCGACTGAAAAAATAACACATGAAGGGCTTCTTGATTGTGGAATGTTACAAAAGGGGAAAGAAACAAACTCTCATCCCTAACCAGTTCATCTATTTACAAGTAATTCATAAGGACAAAGAAGTCTTTTCAGTCTCTCACTGTTGGAAGGGGGTGTAAGACAACATGAATTCAATTACGTGTGCAAACAAGCACAGTAATCAATTCAAGGCTAAATCTATGAAACATTTATTGGAGAAACAATCAAGTCTATTTGCTGTTCTAGTGTGTTAAGAAGACCCAACTCAACATAAAACAACATATGGTAGGTCATGAGCAATGAATGTTACAACAGGTCAGAAAAGACAGTTTACATTGTTTGGACATTTCTCTTACTTTCCTGCTATAAATATCGTTACAATGGACTAACAACACAACGTTCTCTTAATCCCTTTTATAAAATAGAACTTTTCTTTTTGATTCCTCCTCAATAGGAACTTTCACATGACCAGCCAGCTGTGGTCCATAACTTAAATTAGTCTGCAAACATGGCATGATAATCAGTGAAAATTCATATTCACAGATAGAGGTACGGCCATAAAAGTGGTGCAAAATTACTGGTCCCCCAAAAGGATAAAAGCTCCAAAAGGCATGGACCATGGTCACATAAGCAATACCAGACTACCATAAATAACATTTAAATACAATAACTGTCATAAAAGCCTCCATCGCATGAAACTAAAATCACAAGCATCAATCAAAGCAGATCATGAATTCAGCCAACAAATTGTCACTGAAATATAACCACGGTGCGTACAGCTGTTGTCAGCAAACATTGTTAGTGAATGTTGAACCTAAGCCATTTATGCCCCCCTCCCAACAGCTAGCACAAAGTGAGAAAATGGTGAATTAGTAAAACAGGATCTTCAAGAACACTCATGGCCTTTTGCCATATTTTAAAGCAAATAATTTGTATTAATGAATTCCTTCTTTAAAAACTACTCTACCAGAAAATTCATTATATAAAAACAATTACCATCAAGTCACTTATCAAGAAAATATATGATGAACAAAATAAGACAAACAACTAAACAACAAAATCATCCCTTTAAAATTAGTCATAAACATAAAGTTTCCTCAATTCATCAAACTAACCATCATTAAGGCTTGATAAATAGCTGGTGTCACAGTATCTCTTTCAATTTCTATACCACACATACTATATTAGCAGATATTTGCCTTTTATCCTGGCAAAAATATTCTAAACCCATATAGACCAAATAAAGATAAACATCCCGTTGACTGTGTACCGGGAACAAAAATCCAATCTAAGTCTTCATATTCATATGCAACAAAAAGCATCATAGAACTGAAGAAGCAAACACAGGTTCTGTCAAAGTCAGTAGAAATGAACTCTGCTATGAAATAACCAGGACAATTTTCTAACGACGATTTGTGAATCAAAACATAGCAACAATCATATAAAATCACAGCAGAAATTTAATTCATAAAAATCATATTAGATCAAGCCTACAAAAAGATAATAATTATATCCCACTAATTTTTTTTTCTTTAAAGAACTAGCAAAAAAACTTCAAGCATGAAGAAAATATCAATCAAAACAGCATCTTTATATAACATATAAAAAAAGAAAACCCCCAAGATAAAAAAGTTTCGATTCTGATACGACACATATATCAATAAAACAGAATCTTTATACGATGATGAGACATGAAAATTAAAAATAGCATCTTTACATGATGATGATGATGATGATGCACGAAAATAGAAAGTTCTGGAAGAAAGAAAGAAACCCAGAAGGAGGGTACCATTATGAGCATAGTCAGTGACAGTGGAGGTGGTGGTCGACCGAGAAGGTGACCACTGAGACATAAGGGGACTTTGATGAACCAAAAAGTTTCCATTTTTGGGCTTGTCTTTGATGGGTGATGGGGGAATGACGAGGTTGTCAGTTTTGGACTCAAATGAGAGTCCCAGATGCTTCATGCTCGTTTCCTGGTTTCTTTGGACAGAAGAGCACAAACCCATTTCACGTTTCAACTTGAAGGACCTTGCAGCATATAAGAAGAGGTCATGCTCAGAGAGAGAGAGAGAGAGAGAGAGTGAAGAATGAGCAAAGTGGGGAGAGAAGAAGAAGAAGGTGTTTTGGCGTTATGGCAAAGGTGTGGGAAAAATGCGTTGGTAAGAAAAGTAAAACGCCCAATGGGAGAGCAAGAAACGATGAGTGAGAAAGTAAGAGATGATTGGCCTTCAAAGGAAAGCCGATGAAAAATGTGCCAACTATCTACATTATTTATTTCATTCTAATTTCTTAATATTTCTTTTAACGCATAAGGATATATATTAAGATATTAATAAACAACAACTTTTTAAATTTGAATAAAAATTTTATTCTATTAAAAATTTATAATTTTTTATTTGATTTCTTGGTCTTAATTTCCTAAATAATTTTTATAAAAATATTTATATTTTTCTATTAATAATTTATTTATTTATTTTAGTATATATTTGCATAACATTTAATTTGGTTTATATAATATATGATTAATGTAGACGATGATGTTATATTTTATTGTCTTTTTATTTTTAAATTTTAATTTGAAAATTTTTATTTTATAAACTAAATTTTCATTTAAAAATACAAAAAAAATTAATCAAATTAATATTGATTGACTCGAATGTTATGTAACTAAATAATAAAATAAGTTAAAAAATTATTAATAGATAAACAAGATAAAAACAAAATATAATATTTAAGGAACAAGATTGAAAAAATTAAAAAGTGAAATCAAATAAAAGAAATTAAGGATCAAAATTTTATTTAAATTTTATTTATATTAAAATTATAGGATTTGATTTTATCAATACGTCAAGTTTTATAATATCTTATAATTTTTAATATAATTTTATTATATATAAATTCCTTTTGTATGTTATTAAATACATATTAAAAAATATTGATTTTGTTATAATTTTTAAAATTAAGATTAAATATTAAAATAATTATTATATAAAAATAATTAAAAATTTATTACTTTTAATTGTTTAAATTTAAATTTAAAAATTAGTGCTAACATTTTTTTTATTAAATTACATGATTTAATATATGAACAACATTAAACATTATAATTTTTAATAAAAAAATATATTCCATTAGTTTATCGAATTCGTCTGCAAATACATTAATTTTCAAAATTATAGACTTATTGGGTAAATGAGAATAAGAAATAATTAGACATGAGAATTGAATAAAAATATTATAAAATAAAAGTATCTTAAACTATTATTATTTTATATCTAGATTTAATACATATCAAAATAAGTAAATATACTATGTTATTTTGTAAACTAACCCGGTCATATGAAAAAATTTATAGTAAAAAATAGCATATAATAACTGCGTTATAGAATATATTGAATTTTCATATCTTATTGGTTGAAATAATTCTATTTGTATTCTTCAAAAATCAATTTCAAAGAAGTTGATAAATAGTCGCCGGCATTGAATGTATACTGTAGTTTGTAAAGAAAATATCCTAATCCTCTATTTTAATTTTAAAATCGATTATCGAATGTTTAAACGTTAAACTAAACTAATATTAAAGGACTGTGGGAACAACTTATGAATAATTTATAAAAAAATATTTTATGAATTTTATAATCTAATTTTAATTTATTTTAATAAAAAATTTAATATAATTTGTTAAATAAGTTATTTTTAGTTTATTTTAGTTAATTTCATTGTTAATTTTATGACATTAGTTATTTTTAAAAAAATATTAAAAATTTAGTTAAATAATATTTTGTATCTAAACACACCCAGATCTTTAAAGAAATGATTATGAAATCTCACTCTATGGCATTTACGTTCTCATTAGGGATTAGAGTAGATAGGATTGGGTATGGTATTAGATGATCCGTATTTATAACTAGTGTTTTGGTTCATAAAATATGTTTCTTTTTAATATGTATTTTTTTAGCAAATTAATAAAATCAAATGTTATTTAATATTAAAATTATTGTGATAAGTTAACAAAAATATCAATTAAAATATAAAAGGTTTCTTAAACATGTACCCGTTTTCATAATTTTTTAATTATTTAGACTCATTTTATTAGTAAAAACCTATCTACTATAAGTAATATTTTTTAATAGTAATTTAGTCCAAGTATATTTATTGTTGGTATTTTTTTTTAATGAGTTTTCAATATATTTTTCTCATATTAACAAGTACCTTAACAATATATATATATATATATATATATATATATATATATATATATATAAAAGGACAAGATCTTCTTCTACTAGTATAAGTCTAAAAACTCTTACACCAAATCTAAATCTTTCATTTGACTTACATCTAACAGCTAGTAAAGTAGTAAATTATAACTTATTAGATGTAAGTTAAATGAAAGATTCAGATTTGGTGTAAGAGTTTTTAGACTTATACCAGTGTAAGAAGATCCTTCCCCATATATATAATTATTTATATAAATTTTAATAATTATACTTTTATATCTTTACTTATTGGCATGAAATAACCTAATTGTTTTTAGATTTATTTGATAAATAATGGTTTTCATACAATCCTAAGATTAAAATGAAATTCTTTAATAGAATTATTAGATTGAACACGATTCTGAATAAATATTTTAAAATGTACAAGTTATGTTCAACATTCAATTATTTTTACGTTGCATCTCAATCACCAACACAACAACGTGTGCGTGGTGTCGCATCTCATGAGTCATCAGTCACGACTACTCCCAGTGCACAGTATAGTTATACTTTATACATTGTCGCATGAATTATTCAGGGATGCCACCCACAAAGCGTGAAAATGACTAATTTTTTTGCAACTGAAAACTGAAATTCTAAGGTTTCATACAATCCAAGATATATGATTAACCCTTTCAACACAAATTTCATTTCACTTTTCTAATTTCTTTCATCGTATTTTTTCCTTTAGGATGTGTTTCTAATTTGTTCAATATGCTTATTTTTATATTTTCGCAAAATGAGAATTATCTTATTTTTCAATATTGCAAGTAAGAAGAAAATTTTGACCATTACTTTGTACATGTTTGCTTCTATGAAAGTAATTTATTGCGGATTGTACTTGTAATGTTTACTTGTCTTTTCTTTTTGCGAGGGATCCTTCTAATGCATTAGAACTGCTAAATAAAATTATAAGATTTTGTTTTTTTAATGAGCCTAACATTTATGTATGGAGTTAATCCTTTACTTGCAAAATATTATAGATATAATATATTAAAATTTGTATTGAAGACTGTATAAAATGTTGTTGAAATTGATTGCAAAATAATACCAAAGGTTAATGTGAAGGACATGATTTATGGAAGTTAAAAAATGTCACTGGTAATATCTTATTGCAAAATAATACCAAAGGTTAATGTTTAAGAACATGATTTACGGAAATCTCTTGAAATTGGTTGATTGGTAAAGATACGTATATTTGATGTCCAGTCCAAAAAAAGACCCAAGTCCTAGGAATACTGTCAAATAGTAATTCCACATAAATACTATATCTTGAAACGAAACTAATTTTGGAGCAGCATTGTGATAATGAAACTAATAAAAAAAAAACATTAAGGCTGTAAAGACCAATGTTGCACCACTATTTAATTATTTAAGATTTGAATAACTTGCAATATTGGACAAGTTAATGATAAAACTTTATGTGTATGTATTATGTAACATGTTTTCTTATTTAAATATTTTTTATTATATATAAATTTTAATAAAACTTAATTAAAATAGGTAAAATATATGGACAATTTGAAAAGGTTTACATTTATACAAATTTAAAACTAATAGAAGTTAACAAAAAATATTGAAACTTCATGTATATTTCTCATCATATTAGTGATGAAAGTTAATCTTTACAATATAAATTTTTAATCAAAGTAAAAACTAAAATTACATTTTAAATAATTGTAAAATTGATATTAAAATATTTACATACTATTGTCAACTTTAAATGAAAACTTAATAAAAAATTATTACAATCCTTAGAATAATTTAAATTCTAGCAGAGCAATCCTTCTTTACTATTTAATACTCTTTTATTTTTCATTTTCACTTCTTTAAAAATAATTATAAGGGTAAGTATTCTCAGTCTCACTAAATCTTTATTTTATGAAATAATCAAATAATATAGAAAATATTATATAATATATAGTATGCACCAAAATAAGAATAACTCATTTATAAATTTTCATCAAAAAGTCACCAAGACACAAAATTTCACACTCAACCAAATCCGATTATGCAACTCTTGAATTCATGTCACTTTGATAACTGATGGATTCATCATTTATTGGTACTTAGAGTACTCATGGGCCTTAAATCACTGCTAAGGTACTTTTTCTCGTCATGAAAAACTTACACCGGCATAGATAATCATTGAATCACCACCACACACAAATACAATATGTACGTTATACGACCTCATAGCAAAGATATAATCAAGAGTCTAGTTAAGAAATGAGTATGAGGCATGTGATGTTTTTACTTTCATAATTTATGTGCATCCAATAGAATAACATTCAACATCTTCATTTTCTCCAAATTTTTAAAATAATCTATGAACTCTATACCTCCAGTGTATCTCTGTAACTATTCGTATGACAATTTAATAATGATAATTTGCATTAAATTCATTTATTCCACACATATCTGTCACTCTTCACATACACATTTTCTCAACAATACTTTACATTTTGGTAACATAAGCAACTCCAAATCTTCATTCACAACCATTCACATCAACTGTCTTTTTATTATTTCCTTTTACATGCAATTAATTTTACACTTTGTCAACAGTTCAAAATATCACATTATACAAATCAATACAATATGTCAAAAGTAAGACACCTTCAAACTGAATACAATCATACAATTTAAAATACACTGAAAGTAAGTCACATATTACAAAAATATTGTCGAAGATCACATTTTCTCAGTCATAATAAAAATCACCTATCTTAAAGTTTAGCATTTCATATTTTTCATCTTTCAACACATATATTGCCTAAAATTAATTGTTCACAACATTAATAGTACGTATATGATAATGAATAGCAAACAAGAAAACTTCTTAAAAGAAAACTTGTTTTGCTCATAACTGTTACTATAAAATTCTATTTTTTTTTAGGTGATTTTTAGACCAAACCCTAAATTTTCATATCCAAAAAATTTATTTTTGACACTATAATTTCAAGAAAA